GACCCCAAACTTTTGTGTACATGTAATATTTATTTTAAATTGGCTAGTTTGTGCAAGTAAATTTATTTAAACGGGTTGTTAAAAGTTCAAATGGATTGTGTTATGTTCTGTAATTGGGTATCGGATCGAAAATAAAATAAGAGGTATCGCCCATCCCTAGTGGCCACGGCCACCCCCTGGCTCCGCCCCTGGGTCACTTCCTGGTAAACTGGCACTAAATATCACTAAGAAAACTAGGAGAAGCCACTGAATATAATAATTTTCATATATATGTCATTAAAATAACGCCATAATATATGATAAATTACTTGCTGTGGAGGAGATCGGCCCGCTGGTTAGTCAAGTTATCCCGTCTCATAGCGCAAAGTCACGTGACTTTTTCGATGCGCATGGAGGAATTTATTCGGTAAATGTGTTTCCATCATAGTTTATGCGCATTTTTCTACTCAAATGTGCGCATACGTTTTTATGTGCATTTTTTGAATTTATGCGCATCTTGGTGTTTCCATCCAGTGTTTTTTAATGCAATATTTCAAAATGCGCATAAAAATAGTTGGATGGAAACAAAGCTAATGAAATGTATGGGTCACAATCCACCAAAAAAATCTGAAAAAAAATAAGTCTATTTTTATGACATTATTATTTTGTCGTCACATTATTGTGCCCTAAATTCTCCTTTCTATAAAAATAAATAAAAAAAAAACAGTATACAGTAATGTCAATTTCATTATTATATTATAGTAATCCTGCCTGGATTCAATGATTTGTTTTAAATATGAAGCAGCATTAATTAATGAAATAATTATTACCATGATATATACGTAAGATTAAAATTTTTTTAAAGATGTAATTTAAGCATTTTTTCACATTATAGAAACAAGAATGATAAGCTTTCAAATTATAACATGCTACTAAGGCATAATAAAACAGGCTTAACTTTCTTCATGCAAAATATATTTAAACACTTATTTAAAAAATAATCAATATAATCATAAATATTAATATTTATTAATTAAATAATAGATGCATTTTAGGTCAATATTTCATTTCAATAATTGTTATATTTTTATATGAACCTAAAATGGATTTTCACTTTAATTATGGAAATACAAAATTTTGTACATATGGTAAAATAATTTGTAAAAGCAATGCTTGTTTGCGTTACCAGCCTAGACCCTTCTGCTGTTAACCACACTGAGCTGCTGTCACCCAGTGGATGGTCTGAATGCAGCTGTACCTTTGGTATGCCGACACATATGTCTCTAATGTCAAAGTGTTCAGGAAGCCTGGGTGGGGTGCTGGGTGCCTGGACAGTTGTTGAGTCTCTCTCATCTCGGCCCTGCAGAATCCCTGAAAAACAGGATCAATCAAAAACATAAAGTACAGATTTAAATCAGTGACCCTCATATGTTAATCTCACACTCAAACTGATCGCATACTCAAGACAGTGGCAGCATCATGGACACTCCTGGTCATGATTCCTGGCACATCCATTGAGTTGACCAGAGGGATGAGTCCGTGACGAGAGAGCAGGCCATAAGTGGGTTTCAGAGCCACGACTCCACAGAGAGAACCAGGGTTTCGTGTAGAGCCTCCTGTATCAGATCCCAAGGCTCTAAGAGAAAAGACACCTGGAGCAGATTAGATATTTAACATATACAAATATTATTATCTGAAGCCTCACATAATAATGTGTTTTTTTACATGCATAACTCACAGTGTGTACATGAACACACCTATTAATCAATTGCAAAGTACTACATTAGTAAATAATTACATTTTGCTCAATTAGCCACCAAAAAAAATGTCATAAGGAGCAAAATTAGAAATGTATTATTGTATGTCTACATCTTGAATTATATGATATATTATTTCAGATATACAGAGAACTATTCCTTTCCTTCACATATATGAACTAAGCTTTATGAACATGCTTGTATTGAAGCAAAAGTTCAAGCTATATTGACTATTAAATGTAGCTTGCATGACTTTATAGAGAGTTTTACACTTACAGGAAGCTGCTGAGGGATGCCACTGCTGCAGCACTACCTCCTGAACTTCCTCCTGTGATTGCCCAGTCAGAATCTGGATCTTCTGTGCTCTGCTCACGGTATAGGCTTGTGTAGCTCCATGGGTTACGAACTGGACCAAACACCCCATCTGTACTTCCAGCTCTTAAGAAAGACAGAGGCACTCAGATGTGCACCATACATAATCTATTGGTCTTTACAAATTATTCACACTACAGTTCAAATGTTTGGGGTTGGTAAGATTTATAATCTTTTTTTAAAGAAATATCTTATGCTCACCAATGCTGCATTTATTTGATCAAAAATACAGTAATGCTTCCAAATTGAATATATTTTAAAAATGTAATGTATTAATTTGATGGCAAAGCTGAATTTTCTGCAGCCATTACTCCAGTCTTCAATGTTACATGATCTTTCAGAAATCATTCTAATATGCTGATTTGGTGAAACATTTCCTAATATTATCAGTTGTTCTGTGTAATATTTTGTGGAAACTGTGATACTTTTTTCAGGGGTCTTTGATGAATAGTGAAAGTTCAAAGAACAGCATTTATTTGTAATATATATGTTTTAAACATTATAAATTCCTTTACAGCCACGTTTGATCACCCTTGCTGAATAAAAGCATTAACTACTTTTACTAACCCCAAACTTTTAAAAAGCATGTGTGTGAGTCTTACCCCATTGCAAACTCAACCAAATTAGTTTTTCCAACAAGAACTGCTCCTTGATCCAACAGCTTCTGCACAACTGTAGCATTGAATGGAGGAACATAACCTACAAATCCAAACAGACAAAATATGATATTCACAAATCATCCGTGAAACATAAATTTTTCTATGCTTCAGTCTTGCGTTAATGCACTTTAGCTGACCTTTAAGCATGCCTGAAGCACAGGGTGTCTCAATGTTTTCCATGCAGAAGTTGTCTTTCACTGAGAAAGGAATGCCTTTCTTGCCTTTCTTGTAAGGTAAAAAGAGGTTTACCTTACAAGAAAATACATAGAGCACATGAAAATTATTATTCAGCCATAAAAGGTTTATACACTTTATGTGACACACACACACACCTGTGCGGAGCCTGCTGTCTGTTCTCTGTGCTTGCTCCATAGCTGTCTCCTCTGTAATGGTGATAAATGCATTCAGGTAACGTGTCCTTTGTATTTGGTTGATGCATTTTCTGCAGAGCTCAGTGGCAGACACCCTCCCATCCCTCAGTGCCTGGGACACCTGCAGTAGGCAGAGCACATTTGACTTTTTGAAACATTTACAGTGTTTTGTAGTTTTAGTAGGTAGATATATAAAAGCCATTGGTATATATTAATCTAAAATAAAAAATATCATTACAAAAACAGCTTAAACGTTTAGACTGCCTTACTGGTCTCCCAGCCTTGTCAGACTGGTTTAAGAGAAAGTTTTAAACATTATGTAACAGAGTGCCAAAACAGTACGGTGAATGCTTATAAAGTTACATTTTTGGTTACGAGTAAGCTGTTTAGTTAATCAAGGTTAAAATAAAGACAGACCTCTCTAATGGACAGGCCGAGCATCGCTGCCGGACGAGACGCCGCACTGGAGGCTGACATGACACTTCCCGTTGACCTCGCCGACGTCCGATCATCTCTGCTTTCTGATTGGTCAATCGAAGGGCGCTGCTGCATGTGATTGGTTCATTCTGTCGTGTGAAAGTTCACCGGTTTGTTTTGACTTTGCAGGACACGAGATGCGTTTTCGCTGGATTTGAGAGTGTTATAAAGCAGTTATAGGTTTTATTTATAACTAATGACGGGTTTATGACACCGTGTCAGGAGGAGAGCTTTGGATTGTTTTAGACTGCTCAATCATGCTCATGTGTAGACGGTGGTTGGTGTGTTCGCGGAAGGGTCAGTATAGGAGCTTGAGTTTCTCAGCCTCCCGCAGGAGTGTTATGCCCGCATGGGTCATCGACAAATACGGGAAAAACGAGGTGTTGAGATTCACTAAAAACGCAGCGCTTCCGATCATCCACTATCCCAATGAAGTGATCGTGAAGGTGCACGCTGCGAGTGTGAACCCCATCGACATCAGTATGAGGGGTATGTGACGGGGATATCACCTTATCTATATGTGCAATTTCTTTTTGTGGCATTTAAAAAGGAATGTATGAATCTTGCATGGTTCAGAAAAGTTTCTTATGACAATGAGTGGCATGACCATATTTCAAAGAAAATGTTTGAACTATGTCATGGTCATAATTGTGAGTTGTTGCCTAGTCATTATGAGCTGTCATTAGTTGTGCTTGCTAAAAATCACCATGCTACAGTCATGTTACAGGTGTTCTTTATATAGGTTCAATAGACAAATCAAGACCAAGTTTTCCTGAAGTCCCTAAACCTCAATAATAAACTTTTGCATGTTCCTGAACACCTTAGCAATGCCCTAGCAACCATCAAGAACACCAGTATCTGCAGAGCAACAAGCTTGTTGACGAGTTTTGCACAATCAAGCACTACTTGAGAAATGGTAAAACTGTAGATGAACAGATTTTCTAAATGTTAAGATGTAGTTTCAGAGGACATGTGCAAGATTTTTAAAAGGTGAAGTTATTTAAAAAACATTTTTTTCAAATATTAAGAATCTTTACCAATAATCTAAATCTTCGAAACAGCCTTAAATGTACAGAGTGAATTTATCCTCACCTTTGCACCAGTTTGCTTATATGCAAAGTCATGTAAAAACAAACCACTTTATTGTGTTATTGTGTAAGAATGAGTCACAAGGCATGTTGAGACCTAACGCCATAAATGCTTAAAAAAGAGCATGTATTTTATTTTAAAATGTACAGTAAATATATTACAACATTTTTGGTAAGAGTTTATAGTACACTTAATAAAGACTTTCTTTGATGTTTCTTGTAGGTGGTTATGGAGCAGCTACTATGGCCATGAAACGTGACCCACTGAACATGAACCAGTCAGGCAGTGAGTTTCCTCTAATCCTGGGGCGTGATGTATCCGGAGAGATCATGGAATGTGGGCTAGATGTGAACTACTTTAAACCAGGAGATCAGGTGCCCTATTCAGATATTATATCATATATAATTGTAACTGTATCTATATAATGTCAGTTATTGAGGCCAGTGTCTGCTTGTTTTTCTCTGTCAGGTGTGGGCCGCTATCCCTCCATGGAAGCAGGGCAGCCTGGCAGAGTTTGTAGTTCTCAGTGCCAATGAGGTAATATTCGGACTCATGTTTTATATGATAAAAACATTTAACACATGGATCATTCACATATATAGATTAAGAGCACGATACAACAGTTGTCCATAATGCAATCTCTATGTATAGAAGTTTAAAGTTCATGTCTGTGATTCAGGTGTCACATAAGCCCAAATCACTGAGGCATGTTGAAGCAGCATCCATCCCGTATGTGGCAGCAACAGCCTGGTCTGTCATCGTCAATACTGGTGGTCTGAATAAAGACAACGGTTCTAAGAAACGGCAAGTACTAGTCATTGACTCACATTGTCTGTTGTTTCTGTTGAGTCGAGTTGAGTCCTCCAGATCATCCACTTAAAGGGGTCATATTGCATGGAATCAAATTTTATATATATATATATATATATATATATATATATATATATAAAATTCTTTTCAGACACCAGTTGCTTGTCACATTCAAATTGGTTGTCATAGTAACGACACTAATTTGTGGAGATTCAGTGCAT